TCAAAGTCTCCGCTCCGTACTGCAGCATCGGCAGGATGACGGCCTTGTACAGCTTCAGCTTCATGCTCAGTTGGAGATCATGACGATTTCAAACTGTACTTTGACGGCAACCGAAGGCTTAGCTAACTTTCAAAATGCTGTGAGCGACCTCGTCATCGATGTTGGTGCTGCGGCAGAGTACTGCCCAGGTACGGGAAGTTCTTCACCACTTGAAGTTGGGTCCCATTCAAGCTGATTTGCGGCGCTTTGGGGGGTGTAGCTGAGTTTGGTGGCGCTTGATGCATCACCACCGTCTTCTGCGTATTGATGACCAGACCGAAGTTCTCGCAGACGGCGGAGAAGAGGTCCATGCTCCGTTGCATCTCCTCTTCCGAGGTGGTGTTCAGGGCGCAGTCGTCGGTGAAGAGGAGTTCGTGAACGGTGGTTGTGGATACGCGCGATTGGAAGTGCATCCGCCGTTGATTCAGGAGGTGACCGTCCGTCCTGTAGGAGATGCGGATCCGGGTGCGTTCATCATGGTAGGTGTCCATCAGCATGACAGAGAATATAAGACTGACGAGGGTGGGTGCCAGGACGCATCCCTGCTTCACTCCGTTGCTCATTGCGAATGCCTCTGAGACAGCTCCGTTGTCCGTGACTCGCGCCATCATGTCGTCATGGAGCCGACGCACCATCTGAATGAATCGCTCCGTACAGCCGAACTTCTGCATGGTCTTCCACAGTCCTTCACGATTCATCGTGTCAAAGGCTTTGGTCAGGTCCACAAAGGTAGAGTACAGGTGGGACCACATCTCCTAGAACTTCTCCTGTAGTTGGCGGGCGGCGAAGATCATATCCGTGTTCCCACGATAGCGATGGAAGCCGCGTTGGCTTTCCGGCAGAAGGCCCTGTTCCAAATGATTATTCAGGCGATTGAGAAGGATTCGAAAGAAGATCTTTCCGGTGATGTTCAGCAAGGAGATGCCACGTGATTGTCGCAGATTTGGCCGTTCCCTTTTCGCTTGTATAGGTGCACAATTGTTGCGTCCTTGAAATCTTGCGGGACTTCACCTTGACGCCACACATCCTGGAAGAGCGCAGTCAAGCGGTCCATGAGTCGGGGACCTCCGTGCTTGTAGACCTCAGCAGGTATTGCGTTCGATCCGGGTGCCTTCACGCTGGGGAGCTGTTGCACGACCCTGATGGTTTCCTGGAGAGATGGCGGGAAGTCGAGGTCCACGTTGGTCTCCACTTGCGGCAGGCGGTCGATGGCGGTGTCGGAGATGGTGGAGGGGCGGTTGAGGACATCTCGAAAGTGCTCGGCCCATTGCTGCAGGACTTGCGTCTTCTCAGTCAGGTGAGTGTTGCCGTCGGTGCTGAGGAGAGGAGCAGTGCCCTTCGTCGGCGGACCGTAGACAGCTTTGATAGCGGAGAAGACGTCTTTCCACTCGTTGCGGTCCGCGTAGCCTTGGATCTCCTCAACTTTGCGAGCAGTCCAGGCGTCCTGAATCTCGCGTAGTCGTTGCTGAAGGTGGCGACGACTGCGATAGAAGGCAGCTTTGTTGTCCTCAGTGGGGTGCTCTACGTAAGCTTTGTGTAGACGGCTCTTCTTAGCAAGCAGATTTCTGATGGCGGCGTCGTTGTCGTCGAACCAGTCCCGGTGTTGGCGGGGAGCGCGACCGAGGACGGCGAGCGCCGTCGACTGGAACGTGTCTCGCAGTTGACACCAGCGGTTCTCCACGGAGGCGTTCTCGGCAGCGGCGGCGTCGGCAGCGATAGGAAAGTTGTCTAGCCGTTGAGCTAGCTCATTGCTGAAATGAAGATGGTGAGCGGGCAAAGACAACAAGGCAACATTCAGCTTACCTGGGGGTCGCTTACCTTGTGGTCTCCTGCGAGGCTGTAGGCGAATACGCATCTTCGAGATGACGACGCGATGGTCGGTCCACCCGTCAGCACCCGCGATCGCCTTCATCACCAGCACGCCCTGCTGATCTCGCCTCCGGACGAGGACGTAGTCCAGCAGGTGCCACTGACGCGACCGAGAATGCCTCCGGGTGGCCTTCTCTCGCTCCGGCAGACAGAAGAAGGTGTTCGTCAGGATGAGGCGGTGTTCTGCGCAGGTGCGGAGGAGCAGCAGACCGTTGTCGTTGGAGTCGCGGAGACCGTGGAGACCCAGCACTCCTCTCCAGCCAGTATGGTCTGTCAAAAGAAGAGTGGGCGTTCACCGGGAGGGGTTTATTTGAGATCCGACGTTTCGGGTAGTTTACTCGTCTACCCATCTTCAGGGACTGAGAGGTCCTGTGCACAGCACTCCTTATTATGGCGCCCTTTGTCCAAAGCCCGCAGAAACCGCTATGGCGAGATTCTATGGTCTCCCAAATGTACACAAGCCAGATGTTCCCCTCCGTCCTATCGTCTCGCTCCGAGGCACACCCACATACGGGCTTGCAAGCTGGCTATTTCAGAAGCTAAGATTCCTAACTGCAGGCTCACAAACAACGGTGCACTCAGCAGAACAATTCCTTGACAAAATAAGGGCAGTCACGATCGAACCGAATGAAAGGATGGTGTCTTTTGACGTCGTCTCACTCTTCACGTCCATACCACAGACCCTTGCGGTCGAAACGCTCAGTGACCTGCTACGTCAAAATTACGACGGAGGCGATGGCCAGCCCACAGCTCAGGATCTCATAGAACTCATGGGGCACTGCCTCAAGACATTCTTTACCTTCGAAGGGACCACATACGAGCAGATCAAGGGCACTCCAATGGGTTCACCAATCTCCGGACTCATTGCCGAGGCGGTTCTACAAAAACTCGAGAGACGACTATTCGAGGAGTACAAACCCAAGTTTTGGGCACGCTACGTTGATGATACCTTCGTGATCATAGACCAGGATAAAATCAACTACTATGCGGAAGTACTGAACTCAATCATGCCCGATCTACAGTTCACGATGGAAGAGGAAGTCGAGGACAAACTTCCATTCTTGGATGTTCTCGTCTGCCGCCAACCAAATGGCGAGCTAGCGACGTCGGTCTACAGAAAACCGACGAACACGCTGCAAATTCTCAGCTACAACAGCAACCACCCGCCACAACACAAACGAAGCTGTGTGCGCACGCTGTACCGACGGGTAGAAACTCATTGCAGCACGCCAGCCGCCAAACTGAATGAGATAAAGCTCCTCCGAGAACTTTTCAGAGCCAATGGCTATCCACGGGCATTCATTGAACGAAGTCGGAGGCAGCCAAAGAAACGGAACGAGGAGCACAGTCAGCCAAACTCGTGGCGGAGCATTCCGTACATTAAAGGGGTCTCCGAAGTCGTGGCTCGATCACTCGCGCCACTCGGAATAGGTGTTGCCCACAGGCCTGACTCAACAATCCGCCGGCAAGTGATGCGGCCGAAAGATCCGATCCCTAAGCAAGAGATGTCGGCCGTTGTCTACCGACTCCAATGCAGCTGCGGAAGTTGCGACTACGTTGGGGAAACCGGCCGACGGCTGCAAACGCGAATGCACGAGCATAAGTTGGCCGTGCGAAGGTTGGACCCAAAGTCGGAGGTAGCAACCCATGCCGCGCAAATGGGACACATCTTCAACTTTGACGCCGTTGAGATTGTGGGCCGGGGCGGCGACCACACAGCAAGGCAAGTGCAAGAAGCCTGGATGTCCACCGACCGCTCTGTCAGCCGCCACATTAATTTGCCTCCCCCTTATCTGACTTTACGAACCTTCTTAGCGGGGGACAGTCACGGCGCGGGACAATCGGGGCCGTCAGTCATCACCGCGGCCGACGGGGGCGATTCAGGTAACGGTGACATGCGGGTTGGATGCAGCCACACAGGCGGCATTGGCGGATCACGCATTGGACAAAGGGCGCCATAATAAGGAGTGCTGTGCACAGGACCTCTCAGTCCCTGAAGATGGGTAGACGAGTAAACTACCCGAAACGTCGGATCTCAAATAAACCCCTCCCGGTGAACGCCCACTCTTCTTTTGATATGCCACCTGGGAATCGGATTTTCACTACTATTGAAGTATGGTCTGTGGCGACGCGGGCGTTGAAGTCACCAAGGACAATCAACTTGTCCGCCTTCGACACAGTCGCCAAGAGGGCGTGCAGGTCCTCGTAGAATTTGCCTCTTGCGGCGGCGTCGGGGCTGGTCATCGTCAGAGCGTAGGCGCTGATGATGGTGGCGAATTTGCCCCCACCCCGGAGGAGAGGCAGGCGGAGGCTCATCAGGCGGTCGTTGATTTGTGCTGAAGTACTTGACTACTTGACCTTTGACAATCTTGTCACGTTTGTTTTACTTTAGCATTTGTTTTAACGTGACGAAGACTCCGCCGCTTGTAAGCTTCGCGCCGCTTTCATGCTCTCTGGTCAGGTCGTTGCACATTTTGAATACTGACTGTATTCACTTACTGGCCTTCCTTACCTCTCTCCGTTTATGAGGTTAGTAAGCCGTAGTTCGTTAGTTCGCGGGAACGACATAACGTAATTCATTGATGACTCCCGACGTTAGCGCAGACTTAAGTTCTTTCCTTCTGTAACATTTAATGACATTTAACGTCCTGTATTTATTCGCTAAATTTTAGTTCATTTACATTTCCCGCTAACCTTTTCACGATATTGTACTGCCTATATTTTGCTTATTATGTCTTCCTCAAGTCAACAACCTGATGTTCCTGCCGAGTCTGTTCATGCCGTCCATTTTACTTTGCCTGATTTCTGGCAACACGCCCCTGAACTTTATTTTATCCGCATTGAGTCAGCCTTTTACTCCGCCAACATTACGAAGGAGTTTTCGAAATACCACAAACTTGTGGAGGTTCTCTCTGCCAATATTATCTCACAAGTTCAACTCTTGTTAGTGAAACCCCCTGCAGACGCTCCCTATTCTGCTCTGAAGGCGGAAATCCTTCGTCTCAATGCTGTATCTGACCGACAACGCTACCACCAGTTGATCAAGGAGGAATCACTGGGCGACCGAAAGCCCTCAGAACTTCCCCGACGAATGCGTACTCTCTTAAGAGACATGCAGGTCGACGAGAAACTCGTTAAAGAGATGTTTCTAGAGCGGCTGCCTGCAGATCTCCAAACGATTTTGGCATCCGGCTCGCAAGACCTTACACTTTCACATCTTGCTGAAATGGCAGACCGAATGATAGAGGTTAAACGGTTCCAGCCACCTTCCGTTGCTCAGATTTCCACATCCTCTTCACCGGTTAACGAGCAGTTACTGCAACAGATGTCGGCTATGGCGAATGAGATAGCCTCCCTAAAACTACAGCTTGCTCGCATTACCTGTAGTCGCTCACCCAGCCGTAATCGTTCACGTTCGCGACCTCGCACAGCCAATCTGTGTTGGTATCACGCAAACTTTGCCGCCAAGGCTCGCTAATGTTCTTCCCCTTGTTCATTTAACCCGAAACAGGGAAACCAGCCAGCCAGAGAATAGACGCGACCGTTTTCTCTGGCTCTCCCAGCTCTGGTCGCACCTTTTATGTCTACGACAATGTGACTCGCAGGCGTTTCCTGGTGGACACCGGAGCCCAGATCAGCGTGGTTCCCCCCACTCCAGTTGACCGGCGCTGTCCCAGCCCTGGTTTACATCTCCAAGCTGCAAACTGTTCTCTAATTTCCACTTTTGGTAGTCGTCCCCTAACGCTAAACATTGGTTTACGTCGATCATTCTCCTGGATATTTGTGATTGCCGATGTGCCTCATGCGATCCTTGATTCCGACTTCCTAGCCGAGTTTGGTCTCCTTGTTGACTGTCGGCGTTCCTGTCTCCTCGACCGCACAACTGGTCTTTCTGTCCGCGGTCTTACACCCTTTAATGACTCCTGCAATTTATCTGTTCTGGACACAGGTATTGCTTGCCCATACCGAGACCTGCTCCTTCAACACCCCAACATAATCAAACCCCAGTTTCGCAGTGGTGAGATCAAGCATGACGTTGTCCACCACATTCGCACCTCTGGCCCCCCAGTATTCGCACGGCCTAGACGACTGGCTCCGTCCCGTCTGCAAGCGGTGAAGGCCGAATTTGAGCACATGCTGCAACTGGGCATAATTCGGCCGTCCGAGAGTCCATGGGCGTCCCCTCTGCATATGGTGCCCAAGGCGACATCAGACGACTGGCGGCCCTGTGGTGACTTTCGCGCCCTCAACAATGCGACCATCCCGGATCGTTATCCCGTCCCTCATCTTCAAGATTTTGCTGGAGCTCTTTTCGGCAAATCGGTCTTCTCGAAGATTGACCTTGTTCGAGCCTTCCATCAGATTCCTGTCGCTCCTGAGGATGTTCCCAAAACTGCCGTCACCACACCATTAGGCCTGTGCGAATTTATTCGCATGCCATTTGGTCTTAGCAATGTTGCCCAAACATTTCAGAGGTTCATTGACCGAGTCCTACGTGGTCTCCCTTTTGCGTACGCCTACATCCATGACCTCTTGGTGGCCAGTCGAAATGCCGAGGAACACAAAGAGCATCTTGCCTTAGTGTTTGACCGCCTCGATCAGTTTGGCATGGTCATCAACCCTTCGAAGTGTGTTCTGGGTGTGCCGTCCCTTGATTTTCTTGGTCACCATGTCGATGCACAAGGTTTGCGTCCCCTCTCTTCCAAGGTGGAGGCCATTCGTGACTTTGCTCCACCAACCTCCAAGCGTCAGTTGCAACGTTTCCTTGGCATGGTAAACTTTTATCGCCGGTTCCTACCGAACTGTGCCGACCTTATGCTGCCACTCACCAACTTGCTCTCTGGTCCCAAGGGTCCCCTTGAGTTACGTGGCCACGCGCTGACTGCTTTTGAGAGAATAAAAACCTCCCTTGCTGATGCTACCTTGCTCGCTCATCCTGCTCCAGAAGCCCCATTATCCTTGATGGTTGATGCTTCGACCGTTGCCGTAGGAGCAGTCCTCCAACAGCATATCAACGACTCGACCCGACCGTTGGCATTCTTCTCCAAGAAGCTTTCACCTGCCGAGACGAGATATAGCACGTTTGGCCGTGAACTTCTTGCCATTTACCTAGCCGTAAAACATTTCCGACACTTCCTTGAGAGTAGTGACTTCACAATTTTCACAGACCACAAACAACTTACATTTGCCATCTGATCCCATTCTGACAAATATAACCCGAGAGAGCTTTCTCACTGGGATTACATCTCGCAATTCACCACCGACATCCGCCACATTGATGACCCGAAGAATGTGGTGGCAAACATGCTGTCCAGACCTTCCCTCTCGGCGTTTCACCTCTCACACGGGATTGATCTTGGTGCTATGGCGGCCGAGCAACGACGTGTTGGATGCCCTGGCGACGAGTCTATTGACAGTCTTCAATTAGTTGACGTCCCATTGACCACCGGCACTGGCACAATCCTTTGTGACGTATCGACTCTTTTCATCGCCCTTATGTGCCTGCCTCGATGCGTCGAGCTGTTTTTCAAACTCCCCACGGACTCTCCCATCCTGGTATTTGAGCCTCACAGAAGCTCCTCGCGGAAAGGTTCGTATGGCCTGGGTTGAACAAGGATGTGAAAGCTTGGACACGATCGTGCCTTTGCTGTCAACTTAACAAGGTTCAACGCCACAACAAGTCTCCATCGGGCACGTTCCCCAGCCCCGATGAACGGTTCAACCAGGTGCCTTTAATTTAATTTAATTTATTAAATGCCAGTTTACAGGCATTGTCAAGGGAAGCGATTAAACACAAATCCGACCAGCAGTGAAAAAAAAACACCTGAAGAATAAAAATATAGTTGATGATGGTTTTTATGGTTCGGAGGGTTCAGGAGAAAAAAAACTGCTGGCAGTAGATTTTCGACCGTCTAGAAGGGGGGGAGGGGGTTGCACGGTATCGGAGATCATCGGACGTCAATTCCTTTCATGAAGTTGGGGATAGTCACAGTAGAGGCGTTGAGGAACAGCTGGTGAGACCGACAATAGTGTTCAGAGACCACAAACGCCATCGCTACGGTACAGTCGATCAGTGGATTCAGAACCCAAAATTTGAGGAAGCTTTTCTGAATGCAAAAATCAAATAATAGTTCTCTTAAATAAAGGATAATTTTGCAGAGTTTTCACACTCATTGTTAGTTTATTCCAAATAGCAATTGCATTTACAGAATAGAACCGACGATATTTAACAGTACGTGCCAGAGGCAGAAATAAGAAGACCTCACGGTGACTGTTACGTCGTGGGTGGATATGATGTCTTAAAGAGGTGAGTGGGTAAATGTGTGATTATATAACAGTTTAAATAGCAAAAATAGTCCCTTTTGTAATCTACGGAACCATAAAGGATCAAGGCCCGTAAGCCGGCAACGTTCTTGGTAAGACAAATGTCGGTGTTCTGGGGTTAAAATTCTCTTGGTAAAAAAGTGTTGAACGGATTCTATTTTCTTCCGCTCAGTAGCACGCATGAGGCTAAATGAAAACGAACAGTATTCCAGACCAGGTCTAACGTACATGTTGAAAAGGCGCATTCTAATGTCCCTAGTTTTAAAATTTCGGAGGATAAACCCGGTCGTTCTACGTGCTTTGGAGACTATCAAGGCACAGTGCTCCGAGAGATTGAGACTCTTGGAGTATGATACGCCCAAATCCTTTATAACTCCAGGCACATTTATGGCGTGACCTTCAATACTTAGTTGAGGTTGGTGGTCGTCGCCAACCACCATGACTGAGCACTTATGCCAAGAAAGAGAAAGGCGCCATGTGCGGCACCACTGGGCGAAAGCCTGTAGATCGTCCTTTTGGAGCTCAAGCACGATGTCACGATCTGCCGGCTCATATCGATATGCAACTTTAAGATCATCGGCATACATGAAAGGCTTACCATTGTTGAATAAATCGGGTACATCATTAACGAAAAGGCAAAACAAAAGCGGGCCGAGTACACTACCCTGAATGACTCCACTCCTCACACGTGTGGGGTTGGAGATAGTATTGGAAATCTTAACTCGTTGTGTACGAGTGCCCAGGTAAGAGGATATAAAATTCAAAATTTTGCCACCTATTCCGAAAGAGGACAGTTTCAAGAGAAGAAGAGCATGGCCAACACGATCAAAAGCCTTAGTGAAATCGAAATATACAGTGTAAAGTGCAAAACCATTGTCCCTAGATTGGAGAACAAAGTCAACGAAAGAGAGTTGACAGGTGTCACAAGAGTGAGCGGACTCACTCTGTCAGTCTGGCGACTGCGGCGGCGAAAAGATGGAGAAGAAGAAGAAGAAGAGTAGGCTGGAAGAGGAAGAGAGTGATTGTTGTTGTTGTTTCGGTTTTGGCTGTCTCGACCGCGTGCATTTTGTCTACGGCCACGGCCAACCTACAGACAACGTGGTTCTCAGCGATCTTTAGGGCACCTTTTCTAGCCCCTTCCCTCTCGCGAGGGCAGGCAGCGCATCCCTAAATAGGGCTGCTCGGTTATCCCAGACGGCTGTCGGACTTCACTATGGGCCACGAATTTTTGTTAGTGAGAGAACAACCCGAATTAGCCTGGGACCTTGGTGGTGATGGTGATGAAGTTGTTGAGAGGATACACACAACAGAACGCTATGGGACTTACAGCTAAGGTAGACAGGCAGACATAGTCATCAGTCAAGGACAGGAATAACGGGCAACGTTCGGAGTCAGGCACAGCAACACCTACCTATTAGCAGAGAGAGGCATAGACTGACAGATACAGAGCAGGCAACAGTAGCAACCCAAAGCACACAGCACGCTACTTAAGGAGCCAAGTGAGACAAGTGAGGAATGGCACCATTCTAAATCAAGCAAACTAACATCTAGCTATTAGCACAGAGAGGCATAGACAAACAGATACAGAATAAGCAACAAGAGCAGAAACAAGGGCAGACAAGACAGAGCATAAGCAGGCAAGTAAGGTAGCAAAGTAAGTATGAAAACAGACAGGGGTTCTCTTAACTGAGGATTCACTTCCCTGTCGGTCTCCTACAATGACCAAGCCGGAGCTTCATCTCCACGATGTCGATGCGTGGATCCATCGGCCAGCGGTGACAACAGTGCCGTGTGTGCGGATGTACACACGGATACCCTCGGCTGGTTTAGGCCGCCGGTCGAGGAGGTTGCCCGAGGTGTAGCCGCTGAGCAGAGCCCAGCTACGTAGAGCCACATGTGAGAGTTGGGTGCCAGCAAATGGACGCTAGGCGTAGTCTCACCTGCAAGCAAGTGAGCGACCACTACGAACATCACGTGAACCCACCGCTGGACACCCCTACACCCCACACACACACACGCCGTCTCCAGGCTAGCCAGGGCCGCAGACGTCTTATCATGGTCGAAACAATCAAGATCGAAACAGCAACAATACCAATAACAACAACAACAACCATACTCATTCTCCTCATCCTACCTCTTCTTCCTCTTCCGCTGCCTATTCTTCTCCTTCGTCGCCTTCTTCTCAATCTCCTTCCCGTCGCCCCACTCGTTGTCACCAGACTGGCAGGGTGAGCCCGCTCACTCTGGCAGCCTGGAATGTTCGTTTCCTTTTAGACAATCTGAGGAGCAACCGACCGCAACGGAGGACGGCGCTAGTGGCACGAGAACTGGCGCGCAACAAGGTGGACATCGCCGCACTCAGCGAGACCCGATTCTCCGAACAAGGCCAACTGGAGGAGGTGGGTGCCGGCTACACCTTCTTCTGGAGTGGTCGACCCAGGACAGAGCGACGGGACGCGGGTATCGCCTTCGTCATTCGGAACGACATCGTGGGACAACTGCCCTGTTTGCCGCAGGGCATAAACGATCGCCTGATGAGCCTCCGCCAGCCTCTCCTCCGGGGTGGGGGCAAATTCGCCACCATCATCAGCGCCTACGCTCTGACGATGACCAGCCCCGACGCCGCCGCAAGAGGCAAATTCTACGAGGACCTGCACGCCCTCTTGGCGACTGTGTCGAAGGCGGACAAGTTGATTGTCCTTGGTGACTTCAACGCCCGCGTCGGCACAGACCATACTGCCTGGAGAGGAGTGCTGGGTCTCCACGGTCTCCGCGACTCCAACGACAACGGTCTGCTGCTCCTCCGCACCTGCGCAGAACACCGCCTCATCCTGACGAACACCTTCTTCTGTCTGCCGGAGCGAGAGAAGGCCACCCGGAGGCATTCTCGGTCGCGTCAGTGGCACCTGCTGGACTACGTCCTCGTCCGGAGGCGAGATCAGCAGGGCGTGCTGGTGATGAAGGCGATCGCGGGTGCTGACGGGTGGACCGACCATCGCGTCGTCATCTCGAAGATGCGTATTCGCCTACAGCCTCGCAGGAGACCACAAGGTAAGCGACCCCCAGGTAAGCTGAATGTTGCCTTGTTGTCTTTGCCCGCTCACCATCTTCATTTCAGCAATGAGCTAGCTCAACGGCTAGACAACTTTCCTATCGCTGCCGACGCCGCCGCTGCCGAGAACGCCTCCGTGGAGAACCGCTGGTGTCAACTGAGAGACACGTTCCAGTCGACGGCGCTCGCCGTCCTCGGTCGCGCTCCCCGCCAACACCGGGACTGGTTCGACGACAACGACGTTACCATCAGAAATCTGCTAGCTAAGATGAACCGCCTACACAAAGCCTACACACACACACGACAGTTATACCATCGATTTCGATAATGTCCACCGTGTGCCCCACAGACTGCATTGCGGTAGCAGGTACTGTGACTTACGCAGGGGTTTATAATGCCAGTAGACTTGCGTAGCATCTACCTGCACTCTCTCCTCCCCCGACTGAGTCCGGTGTCAAGACCAAGTCAAGAAGACCGATGACGGGGGAGGCCGCAGGTGGATGGCTCGGACGGATCCTCGCCTTGGCGCTCCACTCCGCACCTCCTGGTCCACACACAAATTACCAGAATTTTGACCACAAAACAATGGGGTGATGGCAGTGGTCCAGTTGTGCGAAGATTGACGGCAACATGGCCTGCCAGCGCACCCCGCAAGTGCTGGCATTTGTTATTGCGCACAGATAACGCCTGTCAGTGTAAGATGTGGCCCCCGTGTTAGTCCAGCGCATCTAACACGGGGCCCGTTTGGAGGACACACACACGACAGTTCGACCGTCGTCGTCGACGACGCCCACTGTGTGCTGCACAAAGTAGAGCAGGGACGGAGACTTGTGCGTGACTTATTTTATAGTGAATGTAGACTTGTACGCTTTTACCACATTCTCTCCTTTTTACTCACTTGGGCCCGGTATCAAGACAGTTTCAAGAAGACCGGAGACGGGGAGGGCTCATGTGGATGCCACGTTCGAGCCGACACCTTGGCGTTCCACTCCACACCCCCGGTCCACATATCAAATGACTAGATTGTGAACCATCGACAACAGAGGGGGCGGCAATGGCCCCAGCGTGCACGAAGTTTGCCGGCAACCGGATCCGCCACCGCACTCCGAGATGCTGGCACTTGTTATGGTGTGCATTCCAATACCCCCTGAAAGAGTCTTATATGTCCCTAGCGTTGGTCAGACGCATCTACCACGCGGCCCGTTTGGGGGACACACCTGTCAGTGACATATTACCAGTTATACATTATTGTTTGTTACCGGTGGCTCGTGATGCCCAATCTGTCATATTGACGGCACCATAGCTTTGAACCCGTCTCAGCTGACCTTAGAAAGGCACTCGCACCGCCAGGCCACAGACTTGGCTCACGTTGACTAGGGTCGGGAGTGTTTGATTAATCGGGCGCGACATTTACTGATCTGTCCTATTTGCGGGACGGGCGTGCATTTCCATTTTTCCTTAGAGCCGGGAGCATTCAGCCCATGAGTTCACATTTGCGACGCGCAGCCCGGTCTTGTGGAATCACGGGCTGATGAATACTAGTAGGCCGTAAATGTCCATTCCCACGTCCCCGTCTTTATAATTAAGATGTCTCAGTTGGTGATTTTTAGTTTCCATGTGACCGGCGCACATGGGCTGTTAGTCATTGGCCCGATGTAAAGCGGCAATGCAAGTGTTCATATTGCAATCCCGGTTGACTGGTGCACGCCATTCTTCCTGGAGCCAAACATGCAGTTGTTTGAGCCGCATGTTTTACTCAGGACGATAGGATAATGTATAATAAGCGACAGTAGGTCATGGTGGACACATAGTCCCCCTCCTGTTCTGGCAAATGTATTAAAGCCAGCTGATCTAGACGGTGAATTCCAAACGTCTGTGGATAGAAACTTCGCCGGAGCGGTGGCTGATTACGCCAAAATTTTCGATAGATGAGTCCTGGTGAACTTTTGATTTGACCCGGACAAGAGCTATGTGCATTCGTGGCGAATACATTACTAACCGGGACGGGTAAAAACTGAGCATAAAAACCTCATCAAGAAGAAAGATGTATTTGGAGAGTTATCCACACTCCGATTAACCGAAAAGAATGGAGATCCAGACTATGCCTCATGATCACTTCAAAAAATGCATTTAAAGTATGCCTCACAAAATTGCTTAGCCTACGATATTCACAGTTATGCTGATCAAAAGTATTTCTGAACGCAATATCCCTTTTGGAAACCAAGCGTGTGGCTGAGTGCTATCCGCACGCATCGTGCAGAATGGTTCCTCGATATGTCCGTAGTTCTTTCACATCCGCCCAGGGAAATACCGAGGTGGACTAAACTTTAGAACAGTCGTGTTTGTATGTGATATTGGAATATATCCCGAAAGAGGGCCAACTGTTGTTAATATAAAATTAAAAATAGAGACTTGACCCGACGTGGATCCTAGAACTGCAAGACTGCATTTACAAGACACTCCTCCGAGAGATCGAGACCCGAAATAATGCCGATTTGGCTTTATCTCTCATTATAGTGGGCGACTGCCTAGACAGAATATCTGTAGGACCAAACCCCAGAGCAGTCATACTGAAATTGTTGCATTCCATGTCCCATTCAATGAAGGTCAGGAGAAGGTAAGCATAAGTTTTCACCGCAGACCAAATCAATATGCATCTATTCCTCCACTTGCTCCTGTGGAACAGGTTATATTCGTCGCAAGAGTCGGCGCTTATCCAAGAGAATACAGGAACACATCCCGGCATGGCTGGGTAAAAGCGAAACGAGGATAATAAGCAGCGCCATTCTCGCGCATGTTGTCGATTCCGGACATCGTGTGGACCCTAACGAGGTTTTTCTTGTGATTTATAAAGTCCCATCGAGCTAGCCCAAGCTACTAGGCCAGCGCCTGTTAACGGCCGTCATTAGGTTACGAAAGCCTATCATATGCGCACAGAAGAACTACGTTTCGGCTCGCGCCTACAGTGATCGAAGTTCGACTACGCTGCTACTCTCCGCGCCCTTCCGCTCTCCCCCTGCTCCCGACACTGACTGTTATAAGCCCCCCTCGCAACATTCGCACACCCCGCCTGCGTGTTACGGCGAACTTCTATCGATTTCCCTTATCGCTGGCTCGTTTAACTTCTACCCCTTTCCCGTATACCTGTACTGGGACGACGAGAATTTATCGAAAGCTACGTTTGCTCGCCACCTCGTCTTATGAAAATCTGAAATCTTCTAGGAGACTTACCGTGGTCATCGCCCATAAGGATTCGAATGCCTCACTGCCCATGAACAAATGTGCTTCCCCTAATCTTCGATCGCTGGAGGACTTGCTGACCACCACAGACAGGTTGGATGCGCCGGAAAAGCAGTCTTAGGTATCCCTTTCGGCCTCATCGACTACTTGCGAGTGTGCTAATTTGATAAAAGGCTCCTCGATTGCAAATGCCTCAAATTCTCTATTAGGACAACGCTTTATAATCGTTGCATCACCTACATTTCTTAGTAATAGCCGACTTTCAAACACCATGACTAATATCTGGGTCAGCCAAGGCGTCTGTACGTTAATTAGTGCAATAACGTTTAAATTCAGGGTCACGGATACTAAAGAATGCGTAACTGATTTGCGGAATTCTGTAGACTACACTCGTCAAAATTCCTGGGACACTCGCCGAGATCTTATGTGGGTTAAATGGTGGGAAATTTTGATTCAGTAGATTCGTTATGGAACATTATCATGGGCACATGCACTCTGGCATCCCCTCTTTCGATTCGAAAATCTTTTTTGTCATCTGTGTTTTTTCCGTTTTAGTAGATTTTCAATATATACAGAAGTCCTTTACTAGTTTTTACTGTTTAAAGGGAGTCACTTCTTAGAAATCATCGAAAAGAAATTGAGCAATCATAGTTTTTTTCGGGGAGGAATCACGTTATCCTATAATTTACTATTTTAAAGAAAAAAGGCCCGGACTTATAAGTCGCCATTGATAGGGGCTCGGTGCCTAGGCTGGACTCTAAGTGGAATGCGAATGATCGCTTTAGGTTCCTCTTGTCTCGCCAACTTGACGGTTGCCTCTTATGTCGTATCAAAAATATCGCGATCGCGTCTGCAGCGAACAGCCTCACCAGGGAGGCAATAAGGTATAATGGGAAGAAATGGAAACTGGGAATACATATAATAGTAGTTAATCGTACAAACGGAATGAGTTGCAACAAGGGAGTAACCTGTCTGGATAGTGAAGCGGCACTGACATGCCAGTTTAGTAACCGATTTTAAACTCATCGCTGTGGGCACCTGCAGGAGAGGACCGGTGGGGGCGGCGACATTGAGAGAGAGAGAGAATGATAGAGCGTGCGATTCGAAATTCACGATAAGTTGCGGGGAGGGTGTCAGTGGTAGGGCGGGGGAAGGACACCGCCGTTTTCACCGACACGCAGTTAAGTCATCTCCATCCCGGGTCCGCGCGCAGTGTCTCCATCCAAACAATCCTATACAGACTGTTCGGCTTTACACTTGCACAGGCTACTCAACTGGGTGTGCTGCTCATTTGTACGCACGCAGTCCCTGGCACCATTTTCTGTTCTGCCACGTTAGGAATGCGCACGCTCCGTCCGCTTGTTCTCACCCTGGCTGTCTGACTGCTCTTTGTCTAGTATTTTTAGTTATGCACGCAGTCAAACTCAGCGGCGTTGCAAAAAACGGTTAACCACAGAAATCTTACGAAGACTTAACGAAAGTGCGAGGCAAATGGTACCGTCGGACACATCACATCACCGTGGGATTCGTCTTCTGGCAGCTCGACTGCTTTCGCCGAAACGTCGTCTACTTACCATGAAGACAGTTCTTCGGTGTTCGAATTACACAGCGGTCTCACCAACAAAGATAGTCTGCGACGCAGCAGGAAACAGAAGCCAAGTCACCTTTGCTCCCAATTGTTAAGTAGGTGAACGGTACGCTCAAGAACGCCGCAAATTCATCTGAGCAGTCGATTGAATATCTTCAAGCCTTTTCACCAGTACCTCCCGTCGGACTTGAGCACATTGTTGGGTAGGACAAGCAGCTTTGCACAGGTTACGGTCACGAGGAGTGCTAATTGTGTTCGTTTACGGCTCGTAAACAAATCAGTAAATCGTTTAACGTAGTACCCCTAAGGGTGCTGTCATACTATTTGAAAACAGATTTTCGAGCGAACTTTAGGACAAGTTGGCAGACGCTGCAAAGTGATCAGTTCGTACTTATAACATTAGCAGTCTATTATGAAAACCGTTAGCGGACGGCAAGCGAATCCGTTGCTTTTTTAAACAAAGCAGGGTGAATGGGATTTAATTAGTTTATGGGAGAAGA